GAGAGAGAGAGAGAGAGAGAGAGTGGGGGGAGAGGGGGGGGCAGAAAGACAGACAGACAGATAGACAAACGTGAAACAGAGGAGCATAGAAAAACAGGAAAAGAAAAAAATAAATAAAGAAGAGGAATTGTCTTCCATGTCAACATAAAAATCTGCAGCTCCTACTGGACAAAGCAGTGGGGGAAAGGGTAAGAAAACAGAAGAGGATTTCAAAGCTGTTTTCACGGCAGCCCATCCGTGTGCCAATTAACCTCGATACATTAGTAACTTACAGAAACTGGTCGGTTATTATCATCCATTAAAATCAGAAAATGAGAGCAGCAAATAAACCAACAACAGCCTTTTATACCTTCATGGTTTTGCTCCTCTGTACCTAACGGGGTACAATTCATTTAAAGCAAACCAAGACGTTAACGGGACCAGGTATTTGGCTCTGCCTGGTTTTAAAAAGGGTAGACCACTGATATTCTTCAGTTCCAGAACGAAACAGGAGTAGAAGGAAGTTCATCTTTACTTTATCTGACGGTCAAGACAAACACTTTATTCAAATCAAAGGGACCTTTTCTAAAAAATATTGTGTCACCTTAAAACAAAAGCTTCTCTCTGATTGTTTTAAAACAAGTGATCACTAAGATATAATAAACAATAAACATTAGACTACACCTGCACACAATTTCACAAAATTTGTTAGTCCTTTACCTTGTGCTCATAGGGAATCAAGGTCAGTTTTGAAAAGCTAATAAAAAAAAAAAAAGAAAACAGAAAATACAAACTTACGATGCTTGTAACTTATACAGACTAAGGAAGTTACTCAGAAATCGAGTTAACAAAGAACTTAAGATGTTGCCAATGACCTAACATCAAAGTAGCAGAAAAATCCAAGTTGCCCGCAACACTTCAATGTTTTGTAAAAATTAAATCGTTACAACAAGGTTTTGAAATGCACTTTCTTTCGTTAGCACTGGATGGAAAACAAACACCCTTTTTAAAAAAAAAATAACAATTCAATAAATCTAATACTAAGCATAGCAATTTAATAAGGATTTTTTTCCGGCTGTCTCATTTTACACATATGCATTTATATTATATGTATAATACTTTGTTTTACGTACACATTTGTGTCAATTAATTTTTAAGATGTGATGTCTTTTTCATTGTAATGCGCATTGAGCATCTTTTAGGAAATGGAAATGCGCAGTATAAATGCTATTTATGTTGTGATTTTTGAAGAGGACGTCGATAATGTTGTTGTTCATGAACTTTTGTTGTTGTCATAATATTATTAATATACATGTAATGCATTTTGCTATTGCTCTTGTTAATCAGGTATATGGTCGTTACTGCTATCGATTATGTTGGCAGTTGGTTTATTCCAGGGTCTACTTTATTTTATACTACATTT